TTCTATTCTATTACTAAAATAAATTACATTTAAGAAATTTTATAATTTACGCATATGATCGTTAATTTAAATAATAATGAGTAATATTAATTATTAAATTTAAATTACATAATTTTTATGTAATTAATTAATAGTAATTTTTTCACCATATATTATGCCAAATAAATAAAATTATAAATAGTAAACTAACAAAAACATTTGGCTCAATGATAATAATAAAACACCATTACTAATATTACATTTAAATCATTAAAAATACATAACAAATACAAGTCGAAAATATTGCAAACATTAATTTAACAACACACACATGAAAATACAAATGCATATTTTGTGGAGAAAAAAAAACATAACACTAATTATTACTATGAGAATATTGTTCCCACATATGCTCAACCAAAGTATCACGAAGTTCAAAGTGTGCCTTCCTATTTCTGATTTTTTTGTGCCGTGCCAGAAACTGTTTAAAGCGATCTCCCTCACGAGGCATTAGCGTAACATTTGAAGTAGGAAATTCCACATTATCTCTAATTGGTGCACTGAGATCACGTTCATCTTCGATAATCATGTTGTGCAAAATAATGCATGTTGTCATTATATCATGAAGTACTTTCTTTTGCCATAAACGAACGGGACCTGCGATAATAGCGAATCTCCTTTGCAGAACTCCGAATGCACGTTCAACATCTTTTGTACATGCCTCTTGTCTCGTTTTAAAATATTAATGCATGGGATTAGTTGGTGCTGCAAATGACTGTACTATAGTAGCTCATTTGGGGTATATACCATCAACTAAATAATAACCCATATCATACTGTTTGTCTCGAATAGTGTAATTAGCCGAAGGAGCAATACCTTCTGCAAGATTAGACATTAGATGAGATGCTTCTAACACATTAATGTCATTGTTAGTACCTGGCTTACCGAAATACACGTGCCATATCCAAAGATCATAATCCGCTACAGCTTCCAAAATGATAGTTGGATGTCCAGAACGTCCACTATATTGGCCAGCTCATCCGCTAGGACATTTATCCCATTGCCAGTGCATACAGTCCAAGCTACCCAACATACCTAGAAAACCACGTTGTTCACCAATATGAAGCAGCCTAGCGATATCAGCAGCATTTGGTGCCCTCAGATACTGAGAGCCAAAAATTTCTACGATTGGCCGACAAAATTTTTTTAAGAATTCATTTGCTGTTGACTCGGCAATTTGAAGATATTCATCAGTCTGATCCGCCGGGACACCATACGCCAATTGACGCAATGCCGACGTTATCTTTTGATTTGTTGAGAGTCCAGGTCTACCAAGAGCATCATTTTGCTTTTTGAAATACCTATCATGACTTTTTACTGCATTAACAATACGCTCGTAAAGAGTGAGAGACAAGCGAAACCTTCGACAAAAAGTGTCCGCGTCGTAGGTAGGATTGTTACTGAAGTAATGCTAGTACAAAGTTTGATCTGCACCTTCTCGATCACGATGGACGACTCTATGCCCTGGGACCGAACCCCCCAGGTAGGTTGGCTACTTTCAGCAGAGATAGCGTGTGACATCATAACATTAGAACTGTTTATGAAAAGAGCAATTGGTAGATGGAAATCATTTTCAAATGGAGGATATTCTGAATCTAAATTCTCCTCATCTGAATCATGATCAAATGGTGGAAGATAACTCATTTCAATGATTATTGGGAAAACTACGGGATAGAAAATATGAATAGAAGATGCTCTCATTGTATGACATGTTGGTTGCTGTTTATATAGACAAATGGAGGAATTGATTCCAAAGTATTGACTTAACGGCATGACTAATAATTCTAATTTATTAATTTCTTTTCAAATAAAAAAGAATCCTATGCTTCCCTTTTTTTTTTGGCTTCATGGTCCAAGTTTAGTACAAAGCATTTTTTATTACCGGTCCCAAAAGTCATCGCGTGTATTATCGGTACAATAAGGAATCAATGTTATTCTTGAATTGACAGTGACTATTGGTTCCAATAAAAGAAAGAATCCGGTTCATTTATTTTGAATTGACGGTGGAGAATTGTCGGTATAAGGAATCCTATGCCTTTTTATTAAATGATCCAAGTTGATGATTAATTTGTTGTCAAATACTAAATCCACTACTTCTTTAACTTCATGGTCCCCGTTGATAACAAATGCATTTAGAGTTTTCAGTCAAAAACAGAATCCTACGCATTTTTGGTTGGCTTGGCATGACTAATAATAGTAGTAGTAGATTGAGTATTTTTCAGTCAAAAAAAGAATCCAATGTTTTTTTGTGACTTGATGGTGACTTTTCAATCTATCACATTTTATTGTCGGTACAATAAGAAACAATATTTTCTTATAATTGACGGTAGCTATTGGTCATATGCTTCTTTTTTATTAAATAGTCCAAGTTGATTAATAATGATCCATGTTGATGAATAATGAGTAATGATGGTCCAAGTTGATGAATATTGAATAATGAATAATGATGGTCCAAGTTGATGAATATTGAATAATGAATAATGATGGTCCAAGTTGGCTTGATAGTTGGTTCCAATAAATGAAATAATCTGATTCATTTATTTTGAATTGACGTTAGATATTCAGTCAAACGCATTTTATTGTCGGTGGCATAAGGAATCCAATGTTTTCAGTCCAAGAAAAGGAATCCGATGCATTTTTTTTGTTATTGGTCAATATACACACTTTTTTCTATAAAAAGAATTCTACCCGAGTACTTCATTCAAATTCGCATCCACTTCTCCTTCTAATCTATACCTTCAAACACTCTCAACAACAAAAAATAGCTTCTAAAAAGGGGGTTAACTATACTAGGGCAGAAGATGAACTTCTTGTAAATGTTACATCCATTTCAGAAAATCCAATTGACTCAAACAAGTAGAAAGCACAAACATTCTAGGAAAGAGTAAGTTCCGCATATAACGAGAACAAGAAGATTGACATGGAAGAAAGAAGCTTTAGCTCATGCAAATCTCGCATTCGTATAATTGAAGGTATTTGTAAGAAGTTTAATGGATGTTTACAATAGATCGAGAATCGCAACCCTAGTGGGACACAAGTCGGAGATTGGATGAGTTTATAATTTTTATTTTTTTCTAGTTTCAATTTCACTTTAATCGTAATGTCTATTATTGAAAGAATCTTATGTATGTTAGTCTTATTTTGTTTTTCTTTTGTAGATGAAACAAGCCGAAGAGTTATTTATTCAGACAACAAAATTTAAAACTGGGTTCAAGTTTGGCCATATGTTTGATTTGTGACAAAATTTTGGCAAATTTAATGTCCCCCAACCAAAATATAGTTCTCGGGAGTGTACTACAATCAACGACTCGTCGGAATCTGAAAATCCTAATCCCGAACAACCAACACCCGAGTCTCCAATGTTGTCATCTCTTAATCCTAAACAAATCAACGATAGTGGTAGCGGAAGTGGACCATCGTCTCGACGCCCGATGGGAGTGAAGAAAGCCAAACTGAAGAAGAAAACAGAAGACCATTTGAGTAAGATGTTTAGTACTTTTAATGCAAAAACTGATGTTATGCTTGATTTTATGAAGGTACAAGATGAACGCCAAAACCAACAACTTGAAATACAAAAACAAAATTTGGAGTACAAAAAAAAAACAACAAGAGGACAAAGTGCTGATGATGGACTTGAACTCTATTCCGAATGTATCAGTTCGTCGATATGAAATGGGAAAGAAAGCAGCTCGAAATTATACAAGCAAGGGATTTACAAGAACAACAATCTCAAGGACAATCATCGTCTAACATGGGACAGTTTGGCACACCATCAAACGATGGACAATTTGGATTTCTCAATGATACCGGACATAGTGGAGGCAATTTGAATGATTATTATGGTAGTGATGATAATTAATTTGTGAAACCGTCTACTTGTCGTTTGTATTAATGTTTAGTTTCCTAATTGTTATTTTTATTGTCGTAGTGTTTTTATTTGTGAGTTTCAATGATGTATTTCTTTTAATTTCTGTTATGTAATTTTAAGTTTGTCATCAAAACAACGTATTTGTTTTGAATGTTTGTAGTGTTTCCTTTATGTAATATTGATTATGTATTTTTAATCCATGTTATAATATATCTACACATTCTAAAAATCCAATGGTTGTAAATTAGATAAGAAGAAGATAAGAAAGATAATATAAAAATCAATCCAACAGCTAATATTATAATGAAATCTAGAATGACGGCCGAATTTATCATTATTGTGTTTTTGGTGTTTGGTTTTGTGAGTTTAAATGATGTACTTTATTTGTACTTATTGTATAATTTAAGTTTATAAATAATAAAAACAATGTATTTGTTTTGATTGTTTGTAGTTTATTTTTATGTGATTTTATTAATAATAATGTGTCTTATGATTTTATAGTAAATCAACAATGGTATCTTAGTTCATGTTAAAATACACATATATATATATATATTTACTATTAAGATTTAAATTCATTCATTAAAATTATAATTATGATTATTAATGTTTCCTATTAAAACGTACAATTACACATACATATATTTGCTATTAAGACATAAATTCTCTCATTAAAATGATAAATTATAATTATTGGATTTTAATTCTACTAATTAACATTAATTAAAAACAAGTATATAATCAAAGTATAATAATTAAACTCATTAATATATAACTAGGGCCAAATTGACCCAACTAAAAAGTCCTAAATGTTTTAAATGACCCAAATGAAAAATAAGCCTAATAAAAAACCCACATTTCAGTCCAAATTTAGGAAAAAAAAAAAAAAAAGGAAGGTTCACCCGCTTCATAGCGGGTGAACAATGCTCCGCCACATTTGAAGGAAGACGGAGCACTTTGGCGGAGCGGAGCGCGTTGGAGTGCCCGCTCTGCCAAATCCAACGCGTCCGCCCAGTTTAGCGGACACGTTGGAAATGCTCTCAGCCATGATATCATTCATCGTGTAGATCGATGCTATCACAAGTGGAGTGCCATGTACGGTAAAACTATGTTGTTTTGGCACGGGTCAATTCCGAGGCTAACCATAGCTGAGCCGGAAATGCTGAAAGAGGTTTTCCTTAACAAATGGGGTAAGGTTATCAAAGTCAGCCTTCCGCCGCTTGCTAACCAGCTCTTCGGTAAGGGACTTGTTCGGGTGGAGGGTGAGAATTGGTCCGTTCATCGGAAAGCTGCCAATCCGGCTTTCTTCGTCGACCGAGTAAAGGTTTGTTTTTCATTTTAATTTTTTTTAAAAAAATTATTTTTCTTTTTTATACATAAGTTATGCCCCAAGACTTAATTAATTTAACAAGTAGTAGTATAAATTAGTGGTTTTTCTTGGGTATATTTCGTGAAGGTGAAGGTTGAAATAATTTGAGGACAACATTTGTAGTCCAGTAATAAAAGGAAAATGATATATACCAGAAAAATAATAGTGAAATGTGATAGTTGTTACTATAGTAAATACTTTATTTAATTAATTATCAATTGTTACGTTAGTAGTTATGAATTTTGAAAGATAGTGATTTTATCATTTATAAATTACTATCTTATTTTACTGTTGATGTTCACTGTGGTGCATGGTGATAACTATTTAAGTGAATCTCTTAAAGGTCCATCTTCTTTGGTATATACGGTAGATCCAAGGTCCACCCTCGGCAATCTATCTCAGTATGCAGTTTATGCATGTGACATCCCCTGGAGTCCAACCTCCGGATTTGATGGAACATTATTTTTAAAAGAAACAAAAATGAATATATTATGGTCGTCATAGTTTTGTGAACCGAATATGAAATACAAGACAATACTAATTACAAAAATACACAGGATTGTTCCATCTCAATACTAAATGGAAATAGATGAGGTCACTCGTGTAATTTATAAAGTGATATCATCAATCTCTCCTCATTGATGCACGATAAAGAAATGTGTAAGTTAATAAAAAGAATAACATATGTGGATTTCAAATATTGTACATTTCACTCATTAAATCTTTCCATTTCGGAACTTCTGGCAGTCATGGATTCCCGAAGTTGTAGATAGTACTAAAAAGGTTGTTGAAAGGTGGGAAGATGACCTAGGAGTGGTGGGTGAAATAGAAGTGGATGTGCTCAAGGAATTCCACATTCTATCCACAGAAATATTGTCGAGAACAGGATTTGGTAGTAACTTTGAGGAAGGAAGGCGCATTCATGAATTGATTGATCGACAAGCTCAGTTGACAATGCTGGCTTTAAGGACTGTTTACATACCAGGTTTCTGGTGATTCTTAATCAACCTCTTCTTAGGTTTGACCACTAAATTTCGTAATAATACCAATGATTCGATTCCCTGCCTAAATAAAAATTCTTGCCACAAAATATAGGTTCTTGCCGACTCGGAACAACCGATTGAGGCGCAATCTCAGTAACCAAACCCGACGGCTGATAAGGGATTTGATTGAGAGGCAGAGAAAAGTAGGAGGGAATTCAAACTGCCTTCTGAGCTTCTTAATCAACGGCAAATTGTCAACTGAAGAAGTGATTGACGAATGCCAAACTTTCTACTTTGGAGGAAAAGAAATCCTCGCGATATTCTTGTCTTGGACACTTTTACTTTTAGCATTGCATCCAGAGTGGCAAACTAAGGCTCGAGAAGAAGTGTTTCAAGTCTGCAAGAACGACGAGTTTCCGAATGGCGATGCTTTGAATGACATGAAAGTTGTAAGTGCACTAGCTAGCCTAATCAACTGCTAAGCACCAACCTTACACTCCTTTGGTCCTAATATAACTGACGTATTAGCACTAAAGTTAATTCAAACTTTCACCTTATAAGTTATAATTATCACAAGCAGTAGTAGAATATTTGGAAATTTTTATTCTGATTGATGTTTGCTGTTAAGAGAGTTATTTATCCCCTATCGCATGCATTAAAAATCATTGATATACACTATTGGCAAATAGATTTTCGACGCGAGTTTAAATTACATATATAATTTGACATCTCTTGACTAATTAAGTACTCTCATTTTATAAACAGGTAACTATGATACTCAATGAAACACTTCGGCTCTACCCTCCAATTGCTGTTGTGGTGAGGCAGGCACAGGCACGCAGTTTTATTTGCCTATTGCTGCTGCTCATCATGATCCTGATATATGGGGTCCAGACGCGAATGAGTTCAATCCACAAAGATTTTCAGAGCCCCGAAAACATTTGGCCTCGTTCATTCCATTTGTCATAGGGTCAAGAATGTGCATTGCTCCAAATTTTTCTATCATGGAAGGCAAAATCATCCTAGCCATGATTCTCAAGAAATTCGCCTTCCAGCCCTCGCCGGCATATGTTCATGCTCCCGCAACTTTCCTTACTATTACTCCACTTTATGGTGCTCAAATTCTTTTCAGGAGGATTTGAAAAAAACAACTGTTGCGGTTTGAGTTATGTGCTATCTTGTTTGTATTCTTTTTGGAGAAACTTTTCAGTTTATGAATTCTAAGGACTATTCTTAATTAATTGAAAACCACTTTCATCAGTGCATGTCTTCATACATACATAAAGCGCGGCGCCTAAGTGTCGTGACCAATGATAAATAAGGAGAGCACAAGTCATGTCGACATGATTGGATTCCGCCCGTTTTGTTTCTTTAGAACTTCTACAGTGAAGTCCCTCATCTCATGGACGTGAACTATGAAATTATTTTCGCAGAATATATACATGTTCACTTTTAAAAATGGGAGAAGATAACCAGTTTTGCTAAGCTTACATCTTTTTTCATAGATAGCCAAGCTACTCTCTACCTCATTGTTGTTAAACTCGGATCAGACCGGCCGGTTCAACCCGTTAAATTGGGAACCGGACCGAGTGACTTGAAAACTTTTTTTTTGTGACTCGGTCGAAATCGGTCAAAACCCCGAGTAAATCGGAAATCGGGCAGAACCGGGTTGACCCGGGATTTATGTTTTTTGCATTTTTGGGCCAAAATTTTTACCTTTTCTCCCCTCGTTTTCCGTGTATTTCTCCCTCTTTCTTGGTTCAAATATTTGCATTTTGTTTTTAAATGGCCCAACAACTTTTATTCATGAATTAATTTGTCATTTTAGTCCCAAATTTTCTAGTTCAACTTATAAAACAACCATGTTCCAATTAAATTCTTTATAAATATTTTCCTCACATATGAAATCCTATTATTTTACACAAAATTTAACTATACTTTGAATATGATGAAATTAAATTACATACATTCATTTTATTAATAATAAAAGTTGATTACCTTGTATACCTTTATAAATTTTAATCCTAAATAATTAATATACTTATCTTAAGCTGTAATTACATGCTCTAAAGAACTATTGTTGACTATTACCATAAAAAAGATTCATAAATATTAAGTTTTTCTAATTACTAATATATTTTTAAATTATATATTATTTATTACGTTGTAATGACGTCATCCGAGTCGATCCGAATCGACCCCTAAAACCCTTGACCCCTACCCTCTCCGAGTTAGTGTCCGAGCCGAGTCTGACAACATTGCTCTATCTTCTTCTTATTCATATTACCTCCATTCCAAAAAAATAGTTCCTTGTAGTTATTGCAAGCAGTGTGGTGTCTCAATGTCCATACATGTGACATTTACAATATTAATAGCAACTTGGCTTATATCTCCTAGTACTATTATTCTTTTCTTAGCAGTGTTTATAATGTCTAATATTTTCTGCCAGCTTTTGACAAAAGGCATCTTCTTGTTAACGGCCTTTTGGATGTTCCTCTTAACAGCTCAACAACATCTAGTTGAATTAATAGTCCTTCACAACTATTCATTTTCCTAGTTCCTTTAGTCAAATATCAGTTTTCCTAGTTCCTTTAGCCAGCATTACAGGTACCCGTAGCTCTCCCAGTTTTGTTTTTTTTTTTAAAAAAATAATAATTCACCCAGTGGACCTCACTTAAATGTGGGTAAAATCATCCCTGGTGAGAATCGAATCCTGGTCTATTTTCAGGAAGGACAATAACCTATCCAGTAGGCTGTCATTCAATTCCCACTCTCCCAGTTTTGTTATTAAGGAAGGGTTAGACTTTTTTGGATTAAATTTTTTTAATTTTTTATGTTCGCCCCTGCTGTAAGGAGAAAAAAAATATTCCATCCATCCCAAAATTAGTTTTTAGTCTGAATTTTTTCAATTTAGAATAAATTGTACTAAAAGTAAAAATTCAGACTGGACAATCATTTTTAGACAGAGATAGGGAGACTATCATTTTTCCCTCCTATTTGAAATTTCTAACTGCACTACTGATTTTGATGTTTTGGTTTGGCTTTTATAACGTGTTGTTCTTAGTGAAACACTTATGTAAATCATAAGATATAATCACAAGTTAGTTTATTTATCGTCATCATAAGACTAATATCAAGAAAACCATAATAAGACTTGGAAAAGATGAAAACATTTTTTGACTTGTACATGAACAATTGGTTTTGAGGTACGGACTCCTGAAAATAACAAAAGCCAATGGAACCTCAAATTAAGCTTTAAAGATGACGTAACGACTATTCACCGCAGCTTGTCAAGTTCTAATTTCCAGAGATATCCTCCACTACTACATTTTCATTATTAATTTTTTACTTGTACAAAGAAGTACATAACAGAAAATAACAAAAGTTGATGCCACCTAGTGCAGTGACGAGCCAGTACACATGTAAAATCGAGCCATTTCCCATGTAAAATCCAATGCCAATACATAAAGAAAAAACCGCAGTCGAAGTGCTTTTCAAGTGTTTAGGAAACTCTTTGTAGTAGAATGAAATTTGTCCCGGAAAATGAAATCCTTCTCCAATTCCGGCAAGAGCTAGTGATGGCACCAACCAGAAAATTGACATTGGCACCACAGCATTAATGTCTTGGCCCTGTAAATTATGCAATCGAGCCATCTTCAGCCTCTTCGCCTCCACTAGCGCTAAAACCGCCATGCTTACGACATTGAGCACGTGACCTATTCCTACACGTTGGAGGGGAGAGATGGGCTTGCAGGTAATCTTATTCCACATTTTGAGTAAAAGTCTATCAACAAAGAAGATGGTGATGCAAGTCGACATGAAAATGAAGATCGGCATTGTTCCAGCCGGAATCTCGAGTTTCTGTCCAAGGTGACGGTCCATCGATAAAGCCTGGAGATTTACCATACTAAGTTGGATGACTAGTGGAGTGGAGACAATCAATGAACTTATCCATAGTGGAACCAGTTTGATTAGGCATTTGAAGTCTTCTACTTCTGTCACTGTACAAAGTTTCCATGATTTTGTCATCTTCCCCTGTTGTCCAATATCCCATTCAGTTCTAAATGCTGCACCATTTAAACACCTGTTTCCAACCAATTAGGTTACTGCCCATGTTTTGAGGTCTCATATATCAATGATGAGAATGATACATCTTGTGATAAATTAATACATAGTGATTTTTTTTTTTTTGGTTTTGAGGTCTCATATAATTAATTAGGTAATCATAGTGATTAGATAAACATGGTTTTTAAACATGTAAACCAAAACTTAGCCTTATGTCACTAGCAGATGCTGACTACATCATTAATTAGTTACTACAAATAACGGTACAAGCAGATTTTACCATAAGAATTTCGTAGGCAAAGCAGGAGTCCCATAGTCATGACCTTGGCAGTAATCATCCGGGTTATGTGAATGTGTGACACCACTTTTTCTGACAGCTGCAACAACAACACGAGCCAAGCTCGCGAAAGGGCTACCGTGAGGTTTCATCTGTCGATAGAAACTAGTTCCGGCCAGAAAAAGCATTAATGCAAGTGTATTTGTCGCAAAACAAATCCCAAATCCCCACGCCCAACTCACATAACTTTCAACATAAACAATAGCTGTGGAGCTCATGACATAAGAAATGTAAATGACAAATGTGAACCAGTTGAAGAAAACTCCTTGTTGCTTTGATTTATCAAATTGGTACGCGCCAATTGATCCTACGGTGAATCGTGTTCCAGCCAGTCCAACAGATACTAGTCCTAAGCCAAGATAAAGAGCCGTATGTTGGATTAATGTTGGGGTTTTGCAGGGGTCTGATGATCCACTTTCACATGGAGGAGGTCTTAGTTTACTTAAGGCTGCTGTTAAAATTAACAGCAACAAAACCTGCATAATAATTAAACACAATTTTTTTTTTCAGTATTACAATTAATTATTATTAAAAGGTGCCTTCATCTAATAAGCTAAAGCCATAGGTTTATTTTAATTCCTAAAGCCGGAATTAAAGTCACGGACACTAATTGATGCAAGGATCAGATGTATTCGTAACAATAACTTTTGAGGATATCGTGCAAATATTAATACTGCCGCCAGTTTGAGTTTTACTTTTGGTTAAAATTGTAGTAAAAGTGAAAATCTAAATTGGACAATTATTTTGAGATAATATGTCTCAACGAAAATACGACACTTAATTGAGAAAGGAAAAAAAGGATTAAGTGGGGTGCAGATTCGTAAGACTGACCAGTGATGTAATGAGGAAGAAATCCAGATGACAGAATAACATCCCAAAAATGAGTCAGCTAAAATGGCAGCTGCAACCGGTAAAATAGAAATAATGGCGTTGGTTGCATTGTAAATTTTAGCGGCACTGATTCTCTCAATATTGAATTCTTGAATCAGATACACTTCAAGATTTGAAACCAGGCCTCCATACGCCATTGATAACCCAGCCACGGTTGCTGTTTACATTAATTTTCAGTTTTAAGAATAAAAGGCAAGGGAAAAAAAAACCAACAACAACAAGAGGCAGTTACCTAAAATGAATGGCAAGGTGATCCAACCGCCTTTCTTAGCTGTCGGAATCGGACCAAAGTCCCCAGAATCTTCGATACTCTTATTATTGGAAAAGTCTTCCATGGTGTTATAAGCAAGCTGTAAGTGTACCAAGCAGCTAACTCTTGGAGGGATTTTATTTGAGTTATCGCTTTCTACTATTCAGTGATCACTGTACTTAATATATAAGCTCATGATGCTGCATAACAAAAGGAATTACGGGAAAAGCTAAGGACTAACCAGCTTGAAATTAAATATTGGTTTCAAGTGGATATTAATTTATTTCTTTTCTTGTTTTTCTTTTGGGAGGTGTAATCACAAGAGTAAGCTATATGCTCCTCATCTCTAGACCGCAACTTGGTTTGAAATATATACGAACGGTATGCTGATATTGATGTTGATATGGATATTGGTTTTTTAAGAGGAACAATTTAGGATTACAACTACGAATATTTCTATGTCCTCAAAAACATTCTCCATCTATTTCGGAATGTAACTTAGATTGAGTTTTGAGATTTATACTAACAAGGCATTTATTTGAACTACAGTAAAACCTCCATAATACATTTGGGACTCCAAAAATTTATTAGAGTTATTAATTTATGAATAAATTAATAATTATAATTTACTGATAATTAATATTTTATTAACTTAAAATAGTTTTTCAATTATATAAGTGAGAAAATAAAAAAATAAAATATCTTTAGATCAAGAAACATCAGTTGCAACCCTTACCATAATATTATAAATTTTTTAATTGAACACAAATATCATAATTGCAAACATAAACAAAAATACTTCAGTAAAAAATCTAAATTAATCTTCAAATCTATTTATTATCTTGGTATTTATTAATTTATGAAATTGTGGGGACCTACATTTACAAAGTAGATTTTTTGAAAATTATTATCTTATAAACTAATCGAGTTTTTTCATTTTTTGTACTGGTCCCGAGTTGAGACTGGAGAAAAATATTATTTAACAGAAGTTATTCATTAAAAGAGTTAACTTATGGAGGTTTTACTGTATCTAACAGTAATAACTATATTTAGCAAAGTATTTTATTCACAAAAATAAACCATATTATAGGTAAGTATATATTCAAGTTACATTTTACAAAACGTACAGATACTCCGGGGTAGTGTTTGCCTAGTTGTGCAATTAGTATAAAATCTTATATTCACGAAATATATAAATAATGAAAAACAAAACACATGGTATGTAGTTCTGTTCTGTATCATTCGGTCCATCGATCATGTAGGAGTAAGGTTATATCATCTTAAAGTTTTTTAAAACTTACATTAATGAAGGTAAGAAAAGCTTGCATAAAGATTGAGACTGCTCCTTTAAATCATTCAGGCGGGGGAGGGGGGGGGGGTGGGGTTGTGTTGTAGATGTAGGAAAATTTTCTAACTCGTCCCAAGAAGAAAAAAAATTAAAATTATTGTACGGATTGTAAACTATTTTTTGGGTTAAGGGAATTCAATCATGTTGTTTTCATTAGTGTATCAGAGTCAAATGATTTCCATCACCACAGTCTGCTAAACGGTTGTCATGGATGGTGGGTAAAGATAATGTTAGATTAAACTATGCGATGAAACATTAAGGTTCTATTTGATAATTAATTATTACAGTGACTTTTCCTTTTTTTTTTGTTATCCAACTCGGTGATGAAGCATGAATCTGAACGGTGCTCAGGACGGGAGGCGGCAGCGGACGGCTGATAACGGTTAAATTGTTACATAAAAGCATCACACTTAACTTTATATTTGAGGAACAATTGGGGGTATTTCCTAACATTGATGCAAATTACTTAGCTCATTTTCATGTTATTGTTAGGAAAGGACCAGACTGAATAATTGCTGAAAATTGGAAGCTAAAGGAGCAAATTATGGGCTGCAGAGGCAAGATTGCTGAGCTGGACGAAAGAGAAGGCTCTTAGACAAGAAGCATCTTGCCATTAATAACCTTGCTTCCTCCTAGAGCATGCTGTCCCCCAGCCGCAATCCCAGCCACCACTGCTGATCAATGAGAGCAAAGCGGTTACTGCTGGAAGAAAGAAAAGGAACGCCCAAGTGGATTGCAGGCTCAAGACATTGGGAGGCTTAAACAACTCCAAGCATGGGGAGGTTCTCATGATGAAGACACCGGTTGCAAGGCACTATAAAGAAGGGAGCTGCACTCTCACAAAAGGAATCTATCAGTCTCTGGTTAGCTTCTTAGTTGCAAAAACACTCAGAAAAACTCCAGGTAGAAGACAAGAAAGAAGAAGAAGCAGCAACAACTCAGTGAGGAAGCTAAGTTGAAGAATAGCAACCCAGTTTCTTCTTCAGTTCCACGAGTGAACCCTTTCACTCCCAGGAGTGACTCAGAAACTGCACAAGCTTCCTTCTCATCTCTTGACTGTTAGCTTGAACTTTATTTATTATGCATACTTCTATGATGTCCTTTGATGTAGTAGATGTAGCATTTATTCGTATGAGTAGCTAAACAGTTTTCAGGGGTTATTCTCCTCAACTGATGTTGTAGTTGTCAAAGCACTGGTTTGTTCATTGTTTTATGGTTGAAAGTTTTTCTACATTCATTTACTTGATCACTAAATTGAATGCATGCTAGAACTAAGGGAGATCTGGAAGGATAAACTTGGTTTGGATTGTTTCAACTTTAACTTATGACATAGAGGTAACAGTCTATGGTTTTAACTAAGATAGGAATATACTTAGTTAACATAAGCATTCTTGAAGGCCTAGGAACTTAATGACTTTGTAGCTGGAATCAACCATTGGAAAATAGGTTGTTAAGGTTGCAAAGATGACTCTAGGAAAAATGGGAACTGACTTAGAGTTATAAGTGAGCTGAATGAACAAGAACTCAACCATTACTGTGCTAATAAACAACTACAACCGCAGGAAGAGGAGAAGAACACCCCTGGCCCCCATTCCCCTGAGTGACTGTTTCCATTCTCCTGAGTGACACCTTGTTGACTGACAGTTTTTCTTTACAACAAATTTGGTAATTAGCTGTCCTCGTGGGATCGACCTAGCTTCCATTATCTACAAAACTCATAATCCAAGCTAGTAATATTTATCTTTTTTTTTTTGGTGAACTCGGCAAGCACCAGAAAGTGGCGCCGTTGCCGGGGACGGCGTAAAACCTCCAAAAATTTGTTGTTTTTGTTTGTGTATACATATATAAAACTCTTCTCTGGTTACCTCACTAAGCTTCCAGTTTCTTTTCTTTGGTGTATGACTAGAAGGCACCAACGAAGTGAACCTGTTTTTGACCCAGAAATTGAAGCTACCATCCGTAGTACCAGAGCGGCAAGAAGAAGCCAGAACCGGGCGCAACAGGACAACCAAGAAGGTTCATCTGAAATGGCTAAGCAAGGTGGCAATCCGGAGAACAATAGAAACCCTGGTGGGGATCAACAAAACCGACCAGAAAGGCTGCTTAGAGATTTCTTCATCCCACAGCAAGAAGAAGTCCAATCTCCTCTAGTGTTCCCTGATGTAGAAGCAACCAATTTTGAGCTCAAGCCACAGATGATCCAATGGACTCAATCAGCCTGCCCATTCCATGGATTACCTCATGAAGATCCTAATGACCACATCCGAAGTTTTCTGCGTTTATGCAGTACTTTTAAAATTCAAGGCTTATCTAATGATAACATTAGACTGAGACTATTCCCTTTTACATTGCAGGATCAAGCCCAAGCATGGTTCAACACATTACCTAACAACTCCATTTCCACTTGGGAAGAGTTAAGGCAGTGTTTCCTAACAAAATTCTTTCCACCTGCAAAAGCTGCACAACTCAGAACAGCAATAATGAACTTCAAGCAGCATGGAACAGAAACACTTTATGAAGCATGGGAAAGATTGAAAGAAATGGTCAGAAAATGCCTCAGCATGGTTTGGAAGAGCATCTTCAACAGAGCATCTTCTACAATGGTCTGCTACCAACTACAAGAGATTCCCTTGATGCTGCAGCTGGTGGTGTATTTATGATGAAGCCAGTTGATGCAGCAAGGCAGTTGCTCGACAATATGACCACCAACCATTCAAGATGGCAATCTAATCCAAGGGCAAATACAAAACAGCCTGGGATGATGGAACTTGATCCCAGTACACATTTGCAAGCTCAAATGGCTGTTATGATGAATGAAATGACTAAGCTCAGAAGTGAGCTGTCCAAATCCAAGGCAGAAGTATGTGTATTATGTGATGGATCCCACAGTTTGGACGACTGCCCTTCCAAAATGGAAGCTGTCCAGTTTGTCAGACAGGGCAATGCAGGGGGATTCAACAACTTCAACAATTGGAGAAATCAACAACAGACCAACTGGAACAATGCTCCACAACAAGGAAATTATCAAAGGCCTGCTCAACCCCCAGGATTCCACAGACAAGACGGTCAGCTACCCAACTTCCAGAATCAGCAACGTTCTAACCAACAATACATACCAAGGGAAGATGAATGGATTTCTGTACAAAATGCAATCAAGAGTTTGGCAGTGTCTTGTAAAAGTTTGGAAAATCAGTTGGCCCAGATTGCAAAACACAATGCTGAAAGACCATCTGGGAGCCTGCCCAGTGACACAATTGTGAACCCCAAGGGGAGTGACCAAGAGCAAGCAAAGGCTGTCACTCTCCGAAGAGGAAAGCAACTCAATCAACCAAGTGAAGAAGTCACTCCTGCGAGTGACCCTGCAGGTAAGAATGAAACTTTTTCTGAGCAAATATCTGATAATGATGATATGGGTGAACAGGAGGAACCCGCTGAAAAACCTGGAATGGAGGGAATTCAGTTTCCAGCACCAATTCAGGAACCACACAGCCAGCTCCAACGCCACCATATCCAATAAGACAGAAGAAGGCGAAAATGGATGAAGGACTCAACAGGTTTATTCAGAATTTAGAAAGTATACATATTAATGTACCGCTTGTTGATGCACTTAAACAAATGCCTAAATACTTTAAGTACTTGAAGGATTTGGTGGCGAATAAGCCACAAATGCATAACTCTGCTTTTGTCACTCTAAATGAAGAATGTAGTGCAGCTATCCTGAGAAAATTACCACCAAAGCTAAAAGATCCGGGTAGTTTCACTCTTCCTTGCACTGTAGGAATCAGAAAATTTTCAAAAGCATTACTAGATCTTGGTGCAAGCATAAATCTCATGCCATTATCTCTATTTAAATCCCTTGATCTGGACAAATTTCTGGTACCAACTAACATGACCTTGCAGTTGGCAGACAGATCTCTTACTTACCCAAAAGGAATCTTACATGATGTTCTTGTGAAAGTTGGTAACTTTGTTTACCCAGCCGATTTTGTGGTTTTGGACATGGAAGAAGACAGGGATGTACCCATCATCTTGGGGAGACCTTTTCTGGCAACAAGCGATGCAATCATTAAGGTGAAAAAGGGAGAAATCACACTGCACTTTGATGGGGAAAAGGTTACCTTCAACATCTTCAAAAATATGAGATATCCCGCTCAAGTCCACGACTGCTACATGGTAAGAGATGTAGAAGCAGAGGAAGCAGTGACGGAAGATTTACTGCAAGATGATCTCCTCAAGGAACTTTGGTGCCCAGACTATAATGAGGAACAGGAAGGAGGGGATGAGTACAGGACCACTTGCCTGAGCTACCTGAACCACTCCCCCAAGTGGCATCCTACACAGCAACCCTTTGATTTGATAGACCTGACCAAGGAAGGGAGATGCCTCAAACCTTCAATTGAAGAACCACCTCATCTCGAACTTAATCCTTTGCCCTCACATTTGAAGTACGCCTATATTGGAGCAAGTAACACCTTACCTGTGATCATTTCTTCTATGCTTACAGGTACTGAAGAGGACAAATTGCTGAGAGTACTGAGATTGCACAAAGAAGCCATTGGATGGTCAATTGCTGACATTAAGGGCATCAGCCCCTCCATATGCATGCACAAAATCCTGCTTGAAGATGATGCCAAGCCAACCATTGAAGGACAAAGAAGACTCAACCCAGTCATGAAGGAAGTGGTGAAAAAGGAGATTATCAAGCTGCTGGATGCAGGGATTATCTTCCCAATATCTGACAGCAAGTGGGTGAGTCCAGTGCAGTGCGTGCCCAAGAAGGGAGGAATCACAGTGGTAAAGAATGACCTCCAGGAGCTAATTCCAACAAGGCTGAACAATTCATGGAGAGTGTGCATGGACTATAGAAAGCTTAATAAAGCTACCAGAAAGGACCACTTTCCCCTTCCTTTTATTGATCAAATGTTGGATAGATTGGCTGGATTCATGTATTATTGCTTCCTTGATGGTTTCTCAGGTTACAACCAGATTGCCATAGACCCCGATGATCAAGAGAAGACGACTTTCACCTGCCCTTATGGCACATTTGCCTTCAAGAGAATGCCATTTGGACTGTGCAATGCACCGGCTACTTTTCAAAGATCTATGATGGCCATTTTCTCTAACATGGTGGAAGATATAATTGAGGTCTTTATGGACGACTTCTCGGTCTTTGGTAAGTCATTTGATACATGTTTGGACAACCTCGGGCTGATACTAAAAAGATGTATCGAAGCCAACCTGGTTCTCAACTGGGAGAAATGCCATTTTATGGTAACTGAATGAATTGTCTTGGGGCATAAGATCTCACAAGAAGGAATTGAAGTGGATAAGGCAAAGATTGAAGTCATTGAGAAGCTCAGCCCACCAACCACAGTCAGGGGAGTGAGAAGTTTCCTAGGCCATGCTGGTTTTTACAGGAGGTTCATTAAAGATTTTTCAAAAATTTCTAAACCTTTGTGCAATTTGCTTGAAAAAGACACTGTTTTTATTTTTGATGAATCCTGTTTAAATGCATTCACTGAATTGAAAAACAAACTCATCACTGCACCTGTAATCATCACACCCGAGTGGTCACAACCTTTTGAACTAATGTGTGATGCAAGTGATTTTGCAGTTGGTGTTTTACTTGGACAAAGAAGGAACAAGGTGTTACATGTGGTTTACTATGCTAGTAAAACCCTTAACTCCGCACAAGTCAACTACACCACTACAGAAAAGGAAATGCTGGCAATTGTATTTGCATTTGACAAATTCAGAGCTTAATTGTTAGGGATGAGAGTCATAGTCTATACCGACCATGCAGCCATCAGGTACTTGATCAACAAAAAAGAGTCTAAACCAAGGCTGATTAGATGGGTGTTGTTGTTGCAGGAATTTGATTTGGAGATAAGAGACAGAAAGGGTGCTGAGAATCAAGTAGCAGACCATCTGTCAAGGCTTGAAGAAATTCCAGAAGACACAACTCCAATCTCAGAAAAATTCCCTGATGAGTCACTCTGGCGAGTGACAGGCACACTCATGAGAGTGACAGGTAACAGGCCCTGGTTTGCAGATTTTGCTAACTTTGTTGTTGCTGGTGTTATTCCCCCAGATCTTACCCCACAGCAACGCAAGAGATTCTTGCATGATGCTCAACTCTACCTATGGGATGAACCCTACTTATTCAGAAGATGTACAAACCAATTGATCAGGAGATGCATTCCAGACTCTGAATTCACAGAGGTGTTACACAAATGCCACAGTTCACCCTATGGTGGACATTTCAACGGTCAAAGGACGACAATAAAGGTTCTACAAGCTGGACTGTACTGGCCAACCCTGTTCAGAAATGCAAGAGAGTTTGTCAAAAGCTGTGACCGATGCCAAAGGACAGGAAATATTTCCTGAAAAAATGAGATGCCACAGCAGAACGTGCTTGAAGTGGAACTGTTTGATGTGTGGGGGATAGACTTCATGGGTCCCTTCGTATCATCTTTGGGAACTCCTACATCCTACTGGCAGTAGACTACATTTCAAGATGGATAGAAGCTGTAGCTGCAAAGAACAATGATGCTAAAACTGTTCTCAGGTTTCTAAGAAAAAACATTTTCGCCAGGTTTGGTACACCCAGGATGATACTCAATGATGAAGGATCACACTTCTGTAACAAGTCATTTGCAGCCATGGTAGAGAAATATGGAATCAGGCACAAGGTATCAACACCATACCATCCACAATCAAACGGGCTAGCAGAAGTGTCAAACAGGGAAGTGAAAAGAATCCTGGAAAAGGTTGTTAATTCTACCAGGAAGAATTGGTCTTCAAGGCTGGATGAAGTTTTATGGGCATATAGAACAGCATACAAGACTCCCATTGGTATGTCTCCGTTCAAACTGGTCTATGGAAAGGTATGCCACTTGCCAGTAGAGTTGGAACATAAAGCTTACTGGGCTATCAAGGAACTGAATCTTGATCCGGGCAAAAGCAAGGAATTAAGATTAATTCAGTTGAATGAAATGGAAGAATTCAGGCTAGAGGCATACGAATCATCCAGAGTCTACAAAGAGAAAACTAAGGCTTACCATGATCAACACATTGTCAAAAAGAACTTCCAAGAAGGACAAGAGGTCTTGTTGTACAATTCCAAACTGAAATTCTTTCCAGGGAAGTTGAAGTCAAGATGGACCGGGCCCTACAAAATCAACAAGGTCGTAACTCAGGGAGCAGTGAAGATCATGAATCCACAAAGTGGCAACACCTTTTTGTTCAATGGTCAGAGGCTTAAGCCATACCTTGGATGGATAGAAGGGAGTAAAGAACAGAACTATCAAGTTCTGGTCTCGAAAGAACTTTACTAAAATTTCTTTTGAAGTCTGGCATGAGACTTAAAACCAATGCGCTTTATGGGAGGCAACCCATACGTTTTTGCTTTTGTACGGCTGACAATGTGCTTTCTCTAATTTTTTGCAGGATTAAGACAAGAAATTTGCCACCCCAACAGATTTCAAAAGGTGTAACAAAGAGGGCCTCAGGTAAACTCACTCCTAGGAGTGAAGAAGGTCACTCAGCTGAGTGAACCTACAGGAAGGAATCCTACAAATATTCTAACCCTGACGTCACTCACGCAAGTGGAAAAGTCCACTCGCCTGAGTGAGAACAACTGTACGACACTTTCTGCAAAAAGTCACCTTTTGGGTTGCAGTTATGGTTTAAGTTTGGGGGGGAAATTTTCCGGAAAATTTTAAATTTTAATTTTAACCACGTCCGCCTCTTTGAGTCACGTCAGTCAGCCACGATTTCCAAAAACTTTAACTGCTGTGCATTAACTCATAACTCCTTCATTGCTTCGTCTTCTTCATTTTCTTCTTAATCCGAGAATCACTCCTGCAACCACCACTTCCCTGTGTAAACATACTAACAATTTCTCTAAGTTTCCAGGCACACAAGGCAATTTTCAGATTCAATCACAAAACCCCTCTTTCAATTTTGCCAATACAACTCTTAGGGTTTGTCACAAGATGCCGCCGGCAAGGAGAAGGGCTGCTGCCCGCAAAAACGCCTCCAACACAAGGAGAAGGGTATCATCCTCCTCATCCTCGCCCTCCCCTGAACGGCAAAGAACGCCCTCTCCACCAGCATCCCCTGCCAGAGAACCCACCCCACCACCACCTCCACAACCACCAAGGGCACTGCAAGAACAAGCCCTCAATGCCATCACAGATGAATGGGAGCCCAGGTTATTTCCAAGGAAGAAGGGTTGGGATTTCTTTTTAAAACACATAAGGCGAAAATTCATTCCAGAAAGGGGAATCGGTGAAGATGGCGCAACTTTTGCCTACATCAAGTGCCATGGCTGGGAGACCTTCTCCAAACCACCTATCAAGCCACGGATCCAGATTGTGCAAGAATTTTACGGCAACTTCCACACTGCTCCCAGAGATGGAGTATTCGTCAGAGGCATCAGCGTCAATTGCAGCACAGAGGCCATCAGGGCCATCTGGAAATTACCAAGAATAAACACTGATTACAGAGAAACCCTGGCTGCCCTGCATCCAAATCAACCGCTGGAACATGCCATTCTGTCCAGATTGGCAAAAGAGGGCACAAGCTGGGAAATGGACGACCAAGAAAACCCTTTGGGATTTCCAGCAAACGCTTTGCAAACGCCTGACTTGAATCTCTGGCACCATTTCATCTGCTGCAATCTGATGCCAACATCCTACACTGCTAAGGTCACCTACGAGATGGCTCTGCTGCTGTATGCTATTGCCACAGACACACCATTTGATGCAGCCTCAGTCATCCGGGAGCAACTCACCCGATGCATCACTGATCCAAAGGTGAAGAGCTGGTATTTCCCAGTTATGGTCACCATGCTATGCAAAAGGGCAGGGGTGACCTTCCTGCACACAGATGCAGAGAGCAACTTGCAACAACCATTGCGGATGCATAAGCTGGACCAGAAACCCCCAGGTGCCGCATGGACGGGACAAACAACATCTACTCCCACTCCAAGTGGACAATTGAAGCAGAGGGATTTCAACAAGCAGATCAGGTTCATCCTGGATTACGTCCACCAGTGCCAGACAAGGACGGAGAAATTCCTGCAGGAAATGCACAAGTGCATTGGATGCCCTGAAAACTGCCCAATGCCGCATGACCCGCCAGTCCACCCACTTCACGGAATGCCTCAATAACCACTCAGGGAAGTGCTGTTCTGCTTCCCTTAATCAGCAATTTATTTGTTGCCTGTTTTACGTTTCATGTGTTGTTTTCTGTTTTTTTTTATTATTGTTGTTACCGGGTTGGTGTTGTTAAGCATTGGGGGCAATGCTTAGGATAAGTTTGGGGGGGAGTACTGCAGCAGTAGTAGTTAGTTGTACTTAGTTTTCGGTTAGGTCGGTCAATGTCAGGACAATGCCATTTAGGTCCATTAGGTTCATGTCTAGATTGACTCTGTAAAATATTTGTCAAAACAAAATGAAAATCTTCTAAGGAGCTGTCAACAGTCTAGGATGATAATAGTTTTGAAAAACAATTTTGCTAAACCACTTTTTGATCACTTTTTGATACCAAGTCTGATGCATGAAAGAAAAAAAATGGCTGACACTCACTCACACACATGAATAATGCCACTCGTGGAAGTGAATGCCTAGAACATAAATCTTAAAATTTGGTATGACTAATCCACTGTTGTGAGCTGTGTCTAGTCCTGAGCTACAATTAGATGAGAAATGCCGTAAATCTGAGACTTCCTTTGTGGTACCCATTCACAGTCTGCTTGCTTGTTTCAAAAAAAAAAAAAAAAAAAAAAAACTTAGGGAATGGATCAACCGAAACCTTAGGGGTAACAGCAAGGAACCACCACAAAAAGTTCCAAACTGTTGGAGTAATAAGGGTTGAGGTATAAGGCAGTGGAGAGATAAGGTTGAATAACACCCCTGTAGGTTGGTCCATTTACATCTCCTTAAAAAAAAAAAAAAAAAAAAGATTTCCTAAATAAATGAAGCATAAAGGCTGTGCAGGAACTCCAGGATTGAAGTCTCAGTAGGTAAATCGAGTCAAGTAACTTGGGCAAGACCAGATCACAGGAATGACCACCAAAAGTTTAACCGGTTAACTTAGAATGGATTGGTAGGTTTGGCATGAACAAACACTTGTGGCATATGCATTCCAATTCCCTGTGAAGGTTGGTTGTTTGACTCTGGATTGCAGAAAGATTTGGCATCCTCAACGTATGTTTTCTTCACTTGAATCTGAGACGGGAAAGTTGACAGTACCTATCTAGTTGTGTTTAAGGTTGTTGCTTGTTTAGTGTCACTTACCTGAGTGGGAATCCTTACTCAGGGGAGTAAGTCAATCGTCAGTCATTTTGTCTCCCCTATTTGCTATGTGCAATTCTGAAAGTATCAACAAGAGTTTAGTGTTTTGCTTGAGGACAAGCAATTCTTCCAGTTTGGGGGAGTTGATAACGATTAAATTGTTACATAAAAGCATCACACTTAACTTTATATTTGAGGAACAATTGGGGGTATTTCCTAACATTGATGCAAATTACTTAGCTCATTTTCATGTTATTGTTAGGAAAGGACCAGACTGAATAATTGCTGAAAATTGGAAGCTAAAGGAGCAAATTATGGGCTGCAGAGGCAAGATTGCTGAGCTGGACGAAAGAGAAGGCTCTTAGACAAGAAGCATCTTGCCATTAATAACCTTGCTTCCTCCTAGAGCATGCTGTCCCCCAGCCGCAATCCCAACCACCACTGCTGATCAATGAGAGCAAAGTGGTTACTGCTGGAAGAAAGAAAAGGAACGCCCAAGTGGATTGCAGGCTCAAGACATTGGGAGGCTTAAACAACTCCAAGCATGGGGAGGTTCTCATGATGAAGACACCGGTTGCAAGGAACTATAAAGAAGGGAGCTGCACTCTCACAAAAGGAATCCATCAGTCTCTGGTTAGCTTCTTAGTTGCAAAAACACTCAGAAAAACTCCAGGTAGAAGACAAGAAAGAAGAAGAAGCAGCAACAACTCAGTGAGGGGAAGCTAAGTTGAAGAATAGCAACCCAGTTTCTTCTTCAGTGCCACGAGTGAACCCTTTCACTCCCAGGAGTGACTCAGAAACTGCACAAGCTTCCTTCTCATCTCTTGACTGTTAGCTTGAACTTTATTTATTATGCATACTTCTATGATGTCCTTTGATGTAGTAGATGTAGTATTTATTCGTATGAGTAGCTAAACAGTTTCCAGGGGTTATTCTCCTCAACTGATGTTGTAGTTGTCAAAGCACTGGTTTGTTCATTGTTTTATGGTTGAAAGCTTTTCTACATTCATTTACTTGATCACTAAATTGAATGCATGCTAGAACTAAGGGAGATCTGGAAGGATAAACTTGGTTTGGATTGTTTCAACTTTAACTTATGACATAGAGGTAACAGTCTATGGTTTTAACTAAGATAGGAATATACTTAGTTAACATAAGCATTCTTGAAGGCCTAGGAACTTAATGACTTTGTAGCTGGAATCAACCATTGGAAAATAGGTTGTTAAGGTTGTAAAGATGACTCTAGGAAAAATAGGAACTGACTTAGAGTTATAAGTGAGCTGAATGAACAAGAACTCAACCATTACTGTGCTAATAAACAACTACAACCGCAGGAAGAGGAGAAGAACACCCCTGGCCCCCATTCCCCTGAGTGACTGTTTCCATTCTCCTGAGTGACACCTTGTTGACTGACAGTTTTTCTTTACAACAAATTTGGTAATTAGCTGTCCTCGTGGGATCGACCTAGCTTCCATTATCTACAAAACTCATAATCCAAGCTAGTAATATTTATCTTTTTTTTTTTTGTGAACTCGGCAAGCACCAACGGCCTAAAACCTACAAGATAGAACCTCGGGTGTCTCCTGAAGGTAGACTCTCCGATGCTTAAGTCAATAAGGAAATAGAGAGAATAAAGAAAGAGGTGGTTGTGCATGTATATGAGGTATAGAAGATAGGTACAAGATATGTGTTATGAGAGAGACACATCTCTTTATATAGAGGTGGTGTTACCTGTTTCCTGAAACACTACCGGAATAGGTTTATGCGGTGATTTAATCTCCATGTAACCTAATCCTAGGCCCAATAGGCCTAGGGCTCAGTTACGACTCGTCAAGTTGCCCTAGCAAGCCATATTCTCGAGGTTCGCCGAGAAGGATATGGGTTGCTATGAGTATTGATGTCTTCTCAAGTTTCGTGGTGTTGCCCCAGTTCTCGAACTCTTTCGTTCTCGGGTGTCACCTATATAAGATAAAGAGAAATAGATATATTTGAGAATCATGTTCCCAGGTTAGTTCATGTATGACTGTGGTGCAGGTCTTGTGGCTGTGCCCATCTAGTAGGTCTTATTTGGCCGTTGCCTGTCTAGTAGGTCTTTGTGGGTCGTGCCTGTTGAGCAGGTTTTATTTAAATCCGGTGCCTGTATAGCAGGTCTTTCGGTTCGTTTCTTATGCGGGGTGGTCCTCAATACCTGATTTGAAGGGTGACCCCTATATGTTTGAATGCTCGAGATGCAATATAGTAAGACATGAAGTAATAAAATGGTCGTAAAGAATGTCAGCAGTAGATTACTTTATATTTGAGAAATATATAAAAAATAATTTGAGAAGCACCTTGATTTCGAGATAAATTGTTTATTCGAGAAGGTGTTACCTCGATTCCAAGAAGATAGTAGTTAAGTAGAAGAAATATGAGATACGTCTTCTCGAACACTTTGAGTAGTAATAAGGTGCTCGAGGGATGCTTGCCCCTTCGAGAAGATGTACCTCTCGAAACTTCAATCTCAGAGGTTGCCCCTTACTTCCAGATTAAGAGAGATAATCGTCGATCTTGTCGTCGATTGAAGGATGTTGACGTAGAAGTCGACGGCTGGCAGGTATACAAAAATTTCCTAATTCTTAATCTTTGCTTTTGGATCCAAATTAAGACACCATGAAAAACCAACAAATTTCGGCTTTTTTTTAAGAATTTTATTTGGTTGTAAGGACCAAACAAATCGGTCCCACCGGGCGTACCACTTTGATGAAGCATGGATCTGCACGTTGCTCAGGATGGGTGGCGACGATGATCTAGGCGGTGGCGGACGGCCTAAAACCTGCAAGATAGAGCCTCGGGTGTCTCCCGAAGGTAGACTCTCCAATGCTTAAGTCAATAAGGGAATAGAGAGAATAGGGAGAGAGGTGATTGTGCATGTGTATAAGGTGTAGATGATAGGTAAAAGATATGTATTATGAGAGAGGCACCGCCTCTTTATATAGAGGTAGTGTTACCTGTTTCTTAAAACACTAGCGGAATAGGTTTATGTGGTGGTTTAATCTCCAAGTAGTCTAATCCTAGGCCCAGTAGGCCTGAGGTTCAATTTGGACTCGTCACCCAGGATGGTACTTAATAGTCTTCTCCCAATTTTATTAATCTAAGAAAAAAATTGAACATAAGTAGTGCTTAAAAAACATTATCGAATCAAACTGATACTGTCAAAGATTTTCTAAAATTCTAATGACATGTTTGATATTAAAATGTTTAGCTAAGACACTCTCTTACAATAATTATCAAATAATCCCATGTCAACTCTATACTTAAGAAAATCACTAAGAGTTTGTCTTACATTGATAATCTCGTATCCCATGACAGTTCTATATGTTTCAATTAAAAACAAGTAAAAAAAAATGAATACAAATCCCTATATATTACAGTAGAACTCTATATTTATGGATACGTGAATACGGGAAAGATATTTTATCCGATTAGAACGTTCTCTTTAGGTTAGCTGACAGTTCTATATGACCTCCATATCTCATGGAAACACCATTACATGCCTGTAGTGATACTTCATCTACCATTACATTTATTTATCTATAGATATGCACACCATTAAAACCAAAAATATTTAACATTCTTTTTGTTTCTTTTAGTAAAGCATGGTATTGCCAAGGGTATGCTTTACAATTTTGAAGAAAACTCAATTATTTTGCTGTCAATTTGGACCGTGACTACTGATTCTTCTCTCTACATAGGCTTCTAGGCCATGAAATACTCCTATTTCTGTTGCTAAATTGTAGCTTTCTCCAATAGCATTTACTTTTTAATTGGAATGAAAGCTCCTTGCTCATCATGAAACACATATCCTGATTCGGCAACTTTAGGTTGATCCGTCCGGG